TGCTTGGTTTGCTGATGTTAGCTATTTCTGCTGACTTCCTATTCTGCAAGATGAAGTTTAGCACCTCTAACCTAAACTAGCATTCCCCTTGCTCCTTTCTCTATCTCTTCATTATGATCATCACACTGTGGTTTAAAAAAAATGTTTACCTTTCTGTTACTACCTAAGTATTGTCCACTACCAAGGCTAGTAGGGTAAAGTGAATGTTTCTTTGCTTATACAGCTCTTTATTTTGACCTTAAAGTTGATTACACTATTGCTTCTATTACATGTGTAGTTCTCTGTTTCTATTGCAAATTTGTCTTAATTCTCCAACAGATTTGTGTAATTTCTCCTAAATATTCTCTTCCACGCAGTCTCAGGTGATCCATCAGGTCCATCTGTTTTTCCCTAGAGAAATCCCTTTGGAAGCCCTTCTTCCTCCTGCTCCAATATGGGGCAGCTGCTGCCTCAGCCTGCAACCCAGCCTTCATCCTGGGACGTTTGCTAACTGCTCAGAAGAGGAGAGATGACCTAGTGGGGAGATCTAAAAGCCCATTTTCCAAACTTGTAACCAACCTCCCTGTTTTAAGCTCTATCTCTCTTCCCCCATTCAGCACACTTGTGCCTCCAAATCCCAAAACTTTCTGGGGTTCTGCTGCACAAATTGGCTTCTTCTTTCACTAATACCCCCAAGTGGGCGCTGGGTTTCCACATTTCTCAAATCTCCTGGCTCCTCAACCTGCTTTCCATCTTCCAAAAGTTTTGAAGTCTCAGGTCTGCTATTGTCTCCCCTTCCATTCTTTTTGTCCTTATGGTTTTGTACCTTTAAAAAATTCTTTTATTCTCATTTTAGGGGCATTTCAGGAAGGGAGTACAGATAACGTATGTGCTCCATATGTCATGTTTAATTGGATGTCCAGTGTTTGGATTTGGAACTGCACATGCTCTGAGGATTTGTTCATACAAGTTCCTTGTGGTCTTGGTAGATTTATGCTTTGAGAGATTTATGAACCCATTTCAGCAGCTCTATGTACTGCTGCTGCCACAACGAAATCAAAGGTTGCTGTAGAACTTGATGAAGCAAATTGCAAATACTTGGAAAATGTTAACTATGAATTTCTTCCATCAGTCAGTCTTTCAACAAATCCATCAAACACTTATTTTCTGAGTACTACATGTGCTGGGGCACTGCTGTAGGTGCTGGGATTGTAGCGGTGAATAAGACCAATACGGTCCTCTCATGGACTTTGCAGTCTAGTGAGGGGGGCAAGCCACAACAAAATAGGCAAGTATGTAAGACAATTTCAGATAGTAATAAATGCTATGAAGATAACAAAAGAGGATAATGTGCTAGATGACTGAGGATAAGAGGGCTATATTGGGAAGAGGGTCAGAAAAGGCCTCTCTGAGAAGGCAACATTTGAGCTGAGATCTGACTGATGAGAAGGACCTATCTTTGTAAAGATCTGGGGGAGAAGGGTATCAGGAAGCACCAAAATTCCAAGGTGGGGAAAAGCTTATGTGTTCACAGAATCAAAAGACCAAGGTGGTTGGAACATAGTACAGAGAAGAGTGATGGAAGATGGGGTCCAGAAACGAGAGTTGGAAAGGCAACTTTGGATGTTGTCCCAAATAGAGGTGATAATTGAAACTATAGGATGAGAGAAATTGGCCAAAGAAGACTTTGCAGCACTGTGGATGCTGCAAGAGCATCCAATACACTGTCCTTACCTTCAGAGAATTTACAACCAAGGAAAACTGGTGAGGCAAGGCACATTTTCAAAATAGAAAATAATAAAAGAGTGTACAATCAAGTATTTGCCAGGCATAGTACAGGTTTTTTTTTAGATGAAGTTAGAAAACATAACAATCATTCGGAATTGATGACAAAATATAGCTTTGTGGAGGAGGTCATATCTGAGCCAAGTTTTGATGCATCTGAAAGGCAGAAAAAGAGAATCTCAAAGAAAAAACGCGGACAGAGACCTGAATGTGGGGGCGACCATGACATATTTACGGAATAATAAATAGCTTGACTGTTGGGAAGTAGTTGAACAGGTGAGTGTTCTTCAGTGTGCTTTAGAATCTTGTGGTGAGCCACAGGTGCGATGGCTCATTCCTGTAATCCCAGCGCTCTGGGAGGCCAAGGCAGGTGAATTGCTTGAGCCCAGGAGCTCCAGACCAGTCTGGGCAATATAGCAAAACCCCATATCTACTAAAAATATGAAGATTAGCTGATGTGGTGCCACGTGCCTGTAGTCCTACCTAGCTGCTTGAAAGGCTGAGGTGGGAGGATCACTGGAGCCCAGGGAGGTTGAGGCTGCATTGAGCCAGGATCATGCCATTGCACTCCAGGGCAACAGAGTGAGATCCTTCCACAAAAAAAAAAAAAAAAAAAAAGCTTTATAAATGGTGGGAGGGAGACAGGGATTACAGCACTGGATGGTTAGAACTAAATTACAATAAAGATTAGCAACTGCCAGGGCTACTTAACTTTTGACAGTAGTTATCGTACCTCCCACTTAACTACTTTTTATTATGTTGATTAATCATTATTATTTCAAAAAATGAAAAAATGTAAAAGGGCGCACTGAGCCATCTGTCCTTATTCCTCGTTTCCCTTCACCCCAATAGCCGCTTGTGATTTGCATTTTATTCTTTCCAGTTTTCTTTCTGAAATGCAAACAATATGAACATATCTTACTTCTTTCCCGCTGTTATCTGTTTCCCAGGACTGCCATAACAAATCACCACAAATTGGATGGCTGAAGCAGAAATCTATTCTCTCACAGCTCTAGAGAGTAGAAGGCTAAAATCAAAGTGTTGCCGGGGCCCCGTTCCACCTGAGACTCAGGCTGGAAGTCTTCCTTGTCTGTTCCTCTCTTCTGGTGGTGGCTGTCACTCCAGTCTCTACCTCTGTCCCCATATGGTGTCTCCCCGGTGTGTCTCTGTCTTCACAAGGCGTTTTTTTTTTTTTTTTTTTGGTTTTTAAAAACGTTTATTTTATGTACAAAGAACTATCATGGTTTTTCATGGTAGATGTCTTGGATAATCCTTTGAAGATCGTTTAGTCCAACTTAATGAAACCTATATCCTTCGCGTACTGACGGAAACACTGGCGGCACATATTGAGACCATATTTCCGGATCAAACCGTGCCGGTTTGAACAGACTCGACAAGAGCGAGAACCCTGGCCGAATTTTCGCGGGTGGCTCCAGTACAGCTGCTTGTGACCCACATGGCGTTTTCTTCTTCTTATCCTTTCCAGTCATATTGGATTCAGGCCTACCATAATGACCTCATCTTAACTTGATTACAACTGCAAAGACTATTTCCACGCAAGGTCATATTCACAAGTATGGGTGGGACATAATGTAACCCGTAAACTCCATTTTTTTACACAAGGCTAGCACCCTATATGCACTATTTTTCACCTCACTGTTAAAGTTCAATTATATACCTTGGGATTCTTTCCAAATCAGTACATAGTGATCGTTCTCATCTTCTTTTTAGAGCAGCATAGTGCTTTGTTGTGTGGCTACATCAATCCCCTGAGGATGAACACCTGGATGGTTTCCAGTGTTTTGCTGTTTGAATGAGTGGCCCATACATTTGTCATTTTGTATGTATACAAATGGATCTCTATGATAGATTCCCACAAGTGGGATTGTTGGGTCCAAGGATATGTGCATCTGTAATTCTGGCAGTATTGGTAGACTTCTTTCATAGGGTTTATATCATTCACACTAGCAATGCATGAGAGTGGTCAAACATGTAGACTTTTGCCAATCTTTTATGTGAAGAATGGAATTTCCATTTAATGTTCACATCCATTTATCTTATTATGCATCTCTACATTTTAAACATTATTTTGTGTAGCATTTTTGGTAAACTTTTGGCCAGAAAACTAGGCCATAATAAAAATTTCTTTTTTTTTTTTTTTTTTTTTTTTGAGACGGAGTTTCACTCATGTTACCCAGGCTGGAGTGCAATGGCGCGATCTCGGCTCACCACAACCTCCGCCTCCTGGGTTCAGGCAATTCTCCTGCCTCAGCCTCCTGAGTCGCTGGGATTACAGGCACGCGCCACCATGCCCAGCTAATGTTTTGTATTTTTAGTAGAGACGGGGTTTCACCATGTTGACCAGGATGGTCTCGATCTCTTGACCTCGTGATCCACCCGCCTCGGCCTCCCAAAGTGCTGGGATTACAGGCTTGAGCCACCGCGCCCGGCCCCATAATAAAAATTTCTAATTTCAAGGATATGGAATTAAAAGAAAATATCATAATCTATACAAACATGTTTAACTTGGGTTATTTGCCAGAGTTGGGCCACTCCTGGGAGAATATGACTCATTCTCCTTACTCTGCTAACTCAAGTAACAGAACAAATTAATTTTCATTTAGTTAGATGAGATGCAACTTAATAGAAAGAAATGAGTGTCTTCCGATTCACAAACCTGTGTTACCTCTTAAATTCTCTCTACATAAGTGAGCATAGCATGTAATGCAAACAATAGGGATCTGAAATCATTTTAGGAGAAGCCACGTTCCACAACAAAGACCCTGATCTTTGTGCTTGGCTGTTCCTGCTTTCTCACCAGTTCTCTCAGTTGTACCATTCTTTTTTTCTTTTCTTTTTCTTTCTTTCTTTTTTTTTTTTTAAAGATGGGGTTTCACCATGTTGGTCAGGCTGGTCTTGAACTCCCGACCTCAGGTGATCCGCCCGCCTTGGCATCCGAAGTGCTTGGATTACAGGCGTGAGCCACCACACCTGGCCAGTTGTACCATTCTTAATTGGAGCTACTTTCAAATTTCCTGAATGCGGTGTCAATGTGGTTTGAATACTGCCAACTCTTCTCACTGTTACAAATAATGTTATAATGATGGGTTGCTTTTTGTTGTTGTTCTGACTTTAAATGAAGCTCACCAGTTTTCTTCGGAGAGAATATCTGGAGCTGTCTATGTTATTGTCTCTCATTTTTGTCATATCCAATGACCATATTCCCTTCCCTGCAGGTGGTACTGTGAAGGCAAGGAGCTCGAAAATTCCCCAGACATTCACATCGTCCAGGCAGGAAATCTGCACTCACTGACCATTGCAGAAGCCTTTGAAGAGGACACAGGACGCTATTCCTGCTTTGCGTCTAACATCTATGGGACAGATTCGACTTCTGCTGAGATTTATATAGAAGGTAAAACAAAATGCTCTTGGGGTGTGACACTTACTAGTAAGATATTTAGTTATAAGATATAAATATGTAGAGGGCCTCCTCTACCACCCACTCTTCTAGGCAATGAGGATACATCAGTGAACCAAGTAGACAAAAATGCTTAGGCTCATTTACTGCTGATTTACATTACAGCTAGTGCTCGACTTACGACCACGATTGGGACTGGCAGACCCGTCATAACATGATTTGGTCGTAAGTTGAGTAGGCTATATGTACAGTTGAAATGGTGCACGCGGACATGGTAGTGCTGCCGGAAGCTGGTCCGCACTGTCGTACATCCAGCTGGGCAACGTTTACGCTGCCAGAGGAGGAGCAGTCGTGGCTAGCAATTGTGGTCGTAAAGTCGAATGGTCGTAAGTTGCATAGATCGTAAGTCGATCAATACCTGTAGATGATAGGAGAGACAGAAAATAAACAAGATAAACAAATAAAATATAGGCTGGGCCTGGTGGCTCATGCCTGTAATTTCAACACTTTGGGAGGCTGAGGCAAGTGGATCACGAGGTCAGGAGAGCAAGACCATCCTGGCTAACACAGTAAAACCCCGTCTCCACTAAAAATACAAAAAATTAGCCAGGCGTGGTAGCACATGCCGGTATTCCCAGCTACTCAGGAGGCTGAAGCAGGAGAATCGCTTGAACTCAGGAGGCAGAGGTTGCAGTGAGCCGAGATGGCGCCACTGCACTCAAGCCTGGGTGACAGAGCAAGACTCCATCTCAAAAAAGAAAAAATAATGTGTGTGTGTGTGTGTGTGTGTGTGTGTGTGTGTGTGTGTGTGTGTGTGAGACAGGTATATATAAACACTGGAAGAAAGAAAAAGCAAGAAAAAGTGGAGATAGGAATTACATACATGTGAGTGTGGGGGGCAGAGCGGTGGGGAATGAGCCACAAGGTTATTTGAGAGAAACTCTAGGCAGAAAAATCTGCAAGTGCAGTGGCCCTGAGGGTGGCAGTGTGCATGTCTTCAGGTACAGAGATGAGCCAATGTGGCTAGGGTGGAGTGAGCAAGAAAGTAACAGAAGATGAGGTCGGAAGGTAAGATGGGGTGGAGGTGGAAGAAGGGAGGTAAGCAGATCACAAAAGTCCATGTAGGTCATTGCAGGGACTTTGGTTTGGACCCTGAGGTAGAAAAGAAGTTCTGGAGCATCTGAGCAAAGATATGACATAATCTTAGTTTTTTTTTTGGTGTTGTTGTTTTGTTTTTTTTCTTTTGAGACGGAGTCTCACTCTGTTGCCCCTGCTGGAGTGCAGTGGTGTGATCTCGGCTCATTGCGATCTCTGCCTCCTGGGTTCAGATGATTCTTACGCCTGCGCCTCCCACGTAGTTGGGATTACAGGCATGCACCACCATGCCCAGCTAATTTTTGTATCTTTAGTAGAGATGGGGTTTCACCATGTTGGCCAGGCTGGTCTTGAACTCCTGACCTCAAGTGATCCACCTGCCTTGGTCTCCCAAAATGCTGGGATTATAGGTGTGAGCCACTGCGCCTGGATGATCTGACTTAACAGTCACTCTGGCTGCTGGTTGAGAATATACTGCAGGAGTCAGAGGTAGATGCATGTATACCATTTGGGAACACTGGAAAGACATTTACATTGGCGTGAAGTTTATATGATTAATTTGATGGGAAAAACAATCAACTTATGCTCTTTTGTATCTACCTAAGTTTGTGTTCCTATTTTCTCTTATCCGCTGGATTTTGTCTGCAAATCATTCTTTAGCACTTTTTTCACCAATAGTACTTTATGTATGCCTTGGTTTTAGCATTTAAATGTATTATCATGGTAGAGATGCCCATTTATCAACTAGACTGTGGCCAGGACTTCTTTATATCTCCAATATTTACTTGTACTTACCTAGTACCAAGTACATAGTGAGTATGTGATAAACATCTATTGAACAAATACATGAATAGGAATGTGTTGTATGTGTATGTGTTTCCATCCTCAAATTTTTGGAGCCTAATAAATACCTCCAGATTTAGCTGTGCTATATCTTCCTGGAATGCACTATTTTGAGAAGTAAATCCAGGATCAAAGCTCTGCTAACAGTGCTGAGATTGGATTGCTGGGTTCTTTTTTTCCTTGTGGCAACAAGACTTTAAACACCCCCTCTCCCAAGATGAAATATGACTTGTTAATATTAGGACTGGACGGAAGAGCATCCACCTACACCTACAATGTTTGGAATCCAATGTAATCCCTTCTTGTATTCAATCTGTGTAGGCCAAGAGCAAGAGGACTATGGACACCAGAGCATGCCTACAAATACTGCTCTGTTAGGCCAAAGGCATCAGCAGGTGTTTTACATACACGAACACTTAGAAGTTGGGTCAGTTCATTTGAACACTAGAGCTAACTAGACATGTGACCTTGAGCAATTCCTTCAACTTCTTAGGGTCTGTTTCCTCATTTGTCAAGTTACTGTTAGTGTAGGGAATCACTGAGTTCATTTCTAAGATTCTGTAGGTATTCAGATATTTAGGAATCAAGTAAACAAATTATTATCTGAAAAATCTTATGTCTTATTTAGGAACCAATTTAAGAAATCATACTCTTAACAATCTTGTGTCTTGTTTTTATTTTTTTCCAGGGGTTTCTTCTTCTGACTCAGAAGGGGACCCTAACAAGGAAGAGATGCATCGGTAATTCTGTTTTTCTATCTTACAGCTTTAGCATCCTCAGATTAATTAATAGCTCAGAGAAAGCTATTAATGGTTGCTAGAACTTAAGGAGGGTAGCTCCAGGGTTTGACCGCAAAAATAAATAAATAAACAAATTAAGTGGATTTGAAGAAGACCCTACTTTTGCTTAAGTCTGGCCTAGCAGATTAATTTGAATCTTTCTAATTTACTCCCTACAGAGAATCAGCTCCTTAAGGGCAGAAATCCTTTGGGTATGCCTACCTTGAAATGATAATTTGCTTCTAGCTTTTGTGCAGATATGAACATTCATAGCCAGAGTAAATGACTCCTCCTTTACCCTCTTCCTTTATCATTCTCGTGGCCTTGAGTCAACTCCTCCTTCTTTCCTGCCTTTTATACCAATCACCTCCTCAGAGGGCTTCCTGTCTGCTTCCACCTTTTTCTCTCCTTTACGGTGTCCAAACTACAACCAATTATTCTCTAAAAGAGATCAAGATTCTGATCCTATTGTTTTCCTGACTCAGAAAAAGATAATTATCTATGAGAAAACAAAAATCAAACACGAAACAAACAGCAACGTTTTAAAACGATCTTAACATGGCATACACACAAAGCCTTAGTCAGCAGAGCATCAGCTAGGTTTTCCTGTTCCCTCCTCCCTTCCCCACCTCAGGCTGTCTACATTGCTGACATCTCACCCAAATCATGTACACTTCCTCCTCACTCCTTCGTCTAAGCTATTCACTTTGCTAGGATTGCCCTATCTCCTTCTCTGTCTAGCAAACTCTTATTTAATCTACAAAACCCAGTCTAAATGTTCTTTCTCTTTGAGCTCTGTAATAAACTTCTCCCCTATTGCACACTCATCACTCCTTCCTTGAGGCTCCTGTAATGTGTTACAAACCTAATGGGTATGAATTTTGGTCTACAAACTTAAATAAGCAAGAAATACCCCATTTATTTATTTGCTCCAAATCCACCTGTAGTTGTTTGGATTTAGTCTCTGCTGTGTATCATAGAGACTCAAATTAACTGTGACTTAAATGAAACAGATATTTATTTCTCATTTACGTAAAAATCTGGATTTGGCAGGTAAGATGGCTCCACATTCCACTAGGTTCCTGTCTGCTTCCTGCTTTCTGCTTTATCTCACGCTAAGGTGTTGCCCTCATCTTCTTAGGCTAAAATAGAAAGGCCTGTCAGCCTTTTAAGGTCATCTCTCTTAAAATGCACATAGCACTATCCCTCATGTCCCATAACCAGGAAGTACTCATGTGGCCACGCTTCGCTGCAGTGAAGGTTGGGATATGTAGTCTTTATTTGGAGTAACCATGTAAAGAAATCAGGGATTCTATTATTGTAGAAGAAGAAGACAGATGCTTTAGACACACGGATTGGCTTTGCATCAGCACATCATTCTGCCTGAGACCAGATGTTGCCCGGCTGGGGAAAACATCCAGTCTAGTGTTGAGTGTCCCTTTCCCCCTCCACAGTCTTAAAATGAGCCAGAGAAAGAGAGAGAGAGAGAGTAGTTTTGAAGCAAGCACCATTCTAAACATATTACATGAATTATCTCATTTAATCCTCACAAAACCCTATGAGATAAGAATTTTATTATTATTTATTTTGAGACAGATTCTTACTCTGTTGCCCCAGGCTACAGTGCCATGGTGTGATCTCAACTCACTGTAACCTCCGCTGCCTGGGTTCAAAGGATTCTCCCACCTCAGCCTCCCAAGTAGCTGGAATCACAGGTGTGCACCACCACGCCTGGCTAAGTTTTTTGTATTTTTAGTAGAGATGGGGTTTCGCCATATTGGCCAGGCTAGTTTCGAACTCTTGGACTCAAGTGATCCACAAGTGACCTCCCAGAGTTCTGGGATTATAGGTGTGAGCCACTGCACCGGCCTAGGAATTATTATTTCCCCATTCTAGAGATGAGGAAGCTGAGGCAAAGAGACATAATATCTAGGCCAGAGGAAAGCCCTCTGTCAGCAGTCATCTATCCATGGGTTACAGGTAAGAGGCCCATGCCCCAGATCCCCAGTTCCCTCCAAGTCCAGAGGCTGTTGCTTTCTGACATGTGTAATTACTGATATCTTTAGCAAGACGGGGAGACCTTTACCGAGAGGGATGGGCTTCCCCTCTGGACATAGGTTCTCCCTGGCATCAGATTCTCTGGCAAGATCCACAGACCTCCATCTCTTCCACACCAAAACTAAAATAATCTGCAGCATTGCCCCTCTGCAGTGTGAATGCCCCTCTGCAGCATTCTCAAGAATACTTGCTGGCTCTCTTGCCCTTCAAATACTCCCTTTAATTTAATTTGTGTAAACTTGAAGAGCTTGTTGACTTCATACTATTTCTGCTTTCTGCCATGCCAAATTCTGAGAGGTTAAGTTTATGTACATATTTTGGAGTTGCTCCAAAACTGCTCTCTCTCTACGGCTCATTGTAAAACTGTGGACGGGGAAAATGACACTGAATACCAGACTGGATGTTTTCCCCAGCCAGGCAGCACCCAGTCTCAAGCAGAATGATGTGCTGATGTCAAGCCAATCGGAAGCATTGTGTGTGTCCAAAGCATCTGTTTTCTTCTTCTGCAATAATAGAATCCCTGATTTATTTACATGGTTACTGCAAATAAAGGCTACTATACAACCTTCACTGCAGCAAGGTGTAGCCACATGAGAACTTTCTAGTTATGGGACATGAGGGATAGTGCTATGTGCATTTTAAGAGAGATGACCCTAAAAGGCTGACAGGCCTTTCTATTTTAGCCTAAGAAGATGAGGGCAACACCTTAGTGTGAGATAAAGCAGAAAGCAGGAAGCAGACAGGAACCTAGTGGAATATGGAACCATCTTGCCCACCAAATCCAGATTTTTATGTAAATGAGAAATAAATATCTGTTTCATTTAAATCATAGTTAATTCAGGTCTCTCTGATACACAACAGAGGCTAAATCCCAATAACTACAAGTAGATTTAGCTCAAATAAATAAATGGGATATTTCTTGCTTATTTAAGTTTGTAGATCAAACTTAAACAATCAAATATATATATGTGTATATATATACATGTATGTATGTATATATATGAGACCCTGGTATTGGATCAGAGGTAAAGATTTACAAAGCCTGTCCTGTTACTTGAAATGGGAGGGGGAGGGAAAATACTGAGGGTAACAATAAAACAAACCTCAAAAAATTTACCTTCTGCACATGCTTCTGTCACTGCATTTGTGTTGGATCTCAATTAATTGTTAATATGTTTGACTCCCTGGTTACACTGAGAACAACTACCCAAGGACAGGAATGGTGTCTTATCATTTTCATGTTTGCATGACCTAACAAAGTGTGTAGCAAAAATGCCTTCGGTAAACGTTTGTAAAATATCATCAAACCAAGATTTTTATTACACCCACCTGTAAGCAGTGATGGCACTATTAGTTTTGCTGAAATAATTTTTCACAAAGAGTGACGGGTCTGTTTTATAATCTATATTTTAATAATTTCTCAGAAGCCAGAAGCCAAATGAGGCGTCATCTCCTCCCACTACCTCTGCAGCCATTCCTCCAGCAGTACCCCAAGCCCAGCATTTGGCGGCCCAACCTGGGCTGGCAACCATCCAGCAGGTACTAAGTGAAACACAAGTGCCATGGGCTGTGACAGGCACGGTGACCATGACCGTTTTGCATGGCATGATCGTGTTCTTCTCAGGTGCAACTCCATCATCGAGATAATCATCTTATATTTCTGAGGTTTGAGAGCAGTGGTTCCTATTGCTTTGGGAACATATTCTTCGCCTTCATAAGCAAATTTCTGAGGAAAAGAAATGCTTTACAAATTAGTCCCTGGCTTTCCAGCTTTATAAAGGATGCTAATTACATATTCATTGAGCTGCCAGCTCTCAGACTGGCCTAGAACAAACTCTCTGTATCGTAAAACCTGATTAGTCTCATGGAGCTGCAGAGAATTCCACTTTCTAAGATGAAGCAAGAGTGTAGTTATTTATTAGGAAAAGCAAAGGCTCTCATCCTTCAAGTTAATAATAATGATACATGCTTATTGTAAAAACACTTTAAAAGTACAGAAATATGTCAGGCGTGGTGGATCACGCCTGTGATCTCAGCACTTTGGGAGGCCAAGGTGGGAGGATTGCTTTAGTCTGGGAGTTTGAGACCAGTCTGGGCAACATAACGAGACCCCATCTCTACAAAAAAGAAAAAAAAAATTAACCACGCATGGTGGCATGCACCTATGGCCCCAGCTACTCGGGAGGCTGAGATGGGAGGATTACTTGAGCCTGAGAGGTTGAGGCCACAGTGACTTGTGATAGCATAACTGCACTCCAGCCTGGGCAACAGAGTAAGACCCTCTCCTCCCACCCTCCCCCCCGTAAAATGTGTTACGTAAAAAGTTTAGTCAAGGTTCTACTCCAGTGCCTTCACTCCTCAGAGGTACTTCATGTTAGTAGTTTCTAGTGGGTAGTTCCAGGCATTTTCTATGCATATATAAGAATACATATGGACGGGCGCAGTGGCTCATGCCTGTAATCCTAGCACTTTGGGAGGCCGAGGTGGGCAGATCACCTGAGGTCAGGAGTTTAAGACCACCCTGGCCATCACGGTGAAACCCCATCTTAAAAATAAAAATTAAAAAAATTTTAAAAAGGAATACATATATGTGGCCGAATGCAGTGGCTCACGCTTGTAATCCCAGCACTTTGGGAGGCCAAAGCAGGCAGATCACCTGAAGTCTGAAGTTCGAGACCAGCCTAACCAACATGGAGAAACCCTGTCTCTAATAAAAATACTAAATTAGCTGGGCATGGTGGCGCATGCCTGTAATCCCAACTACTTGGGAGGCTGAGGCAGGAGAATCACTGGAACCTGGGAGGCAGGTTGTGGTGAGTGAGATGCACCATGGCACTCCAGCCTGGGCAACAAGAGCGAAACTCTGTCTCAAAAAAAAAGAATACATATATGTATGCATAGACTTTAAAACATATGAAGTCATACTATCTAAATATACTTATAACATGTTATTGGTTTATTTCTTTTCCATATATATATTTTTTTATTTTTGAAAAAAGTGTTTGTAGAGATGAGGTCTCACTGTGTTGCCCAGGCTGGTCTTGAACTCCTGGCCTTAAGCAATCCTCCCACCTCAGCCTCCCAAAGTGCTAGAATTACAGCTGTGAGCCACCATACCCAGCCTAACATATTTCTTTATTGATGATCAATATATTTAAATATATTTATCTACAACCTCCTTTTAAAAATTATCCAACCCATTTAGTAGTACAGAGGGGTCAAGTTTTAGTTCTAATCCACTGGTTTTCAAACTGTGATCTGTGTAGCCCCAGGGTTCTATGGAGCCTCTTCGGGGGTTTAGGGTTAATGACACAGATCTATATGTGAAAGGGTGGCGTAGGGATAGGCAGCATATATTTTATGGCCACCATGACCTAGAGAGAAATAGAGTCAATTCAGTCTAAAATTTGAAGTCTGTGATTCATAAACTTAGAAAACATCAGTTTTTGGTTTGGGATGAATTTCATATACCAAATTCTCTAGTTTGTTATATCTCACTATCCATCTAATAATCTTAGTAACAATGAATCTACTCTTGGTTCCTTCTACCAGTGCCAGAGCCCTACCAATTACTTGCAAGGATTGGATGGAAAACCTATCATTGCAGCTCCTGTGTTTACAAAGGTAATAAAAATATTACTTCTTCCTGTCATGGCTTTACAGATACCACAGCATCCAAAGTTACAGGATCCAAGATTTATTCATTTTTATCTCAGGATTTGGTCTTATATATGTACACTATAGGATTTGGGGTTGTTTTGATACTTACTACAGTATCACAAGTCCTAGATTTCCAATAACAGTTTTAGTAATGAGAGAAATGTCTTTTCCTCTTACCACCCTGATCTCTGTGGCCATCCTACAACTGTTAAACATACAATCTGCCTTATGTGGCAAGTGATAACTTTCTAGCCACATATTACTGCAAAGATTTCTCTGAATTTTCAGAAAAATTCAGTTGCAGTTACCTGGCTTAGGTGCTCAAGAAGATGGAGTTAAATGCCCTGAGAAGGTTTAACAGAAAGCCTCCTCCCTCTAGGATAAAGAGCTTTCTTAGGCCAGGCATGCAGGCTCACACCTGTAATCCCAGCACTTTGGGAGGCAAGGGTGGGTGGATCACTTGAGGTCAGGAGTTCAAGACCAGCCTGACCAACATGGAGAAACCCTCCTCTCTACTAAAAATACAAAATTAGCTGGGGGTGGTGGTGCATGCCTCTAATCCCAGCTACTCCGGAGGCTGAGGCAGGAGAATTGCTTGAACCCGGGAGACGGAAGTTGCAGTGAGCCCAGATCATGCCATTGCATTCCAGCCTGGGCAACAAAAGTAAAAAACCAAACCTCCAACAAAAAAAAAAAAAAAAAAAAAAAAAAAAGCTTTCTTTTTCTATTCCATAGTATCAACTATTGGGATGGCATCAAATTCTAAATCTCATAGTCTTTGTACTTAGAACTAGAAAATTTAGTAAAGCACATTCATTTTCAGATGAAAAACCAAGGGAGGGCCAGAGAGATGAAGCCATGTAGCCAATATCGCAGATCTAGTTAGTGGCAGAATCAGGACCACAAACAAGTTCTCCCAATGCTTGGACTAAGACTGTGTACACATGTTGCCCAAGCCAGTAAGTGTGAAGGTGAAAAAATTGAGTCACATTGGATTTTATGGTATTATGAAGACCAAATAGACCGAATCTATGGCTGGATTTACAGTTTACTGTTTGTTTGAACACCAAACTTAGGCCCAGATAAATTTTATCCTCTCTGAAATATGCCTTGTTTTAGAGCAGTGGTTTTCAATCATGGTTAATTTTGCCCTCCAGAGACATTGGCAATGTCTGGAGACTCTTGTTGTCACAACTAGGGGGTTATGTGCCTGGCATCCAGGGATGGTGTTAAATACCCTACAATGCATAGGATGGCAGCCCTCCACAACAAAAATAGTGTAGCTCAAAATATCAACAGTGTTGAAGCTGAGAAATCCTAGTTTGAGCAAATGGGCTTTTTTTTCCAGTGAGTACTGATCCCTAGAGGAAGAGCTAAATCCACAACTTCTACAGAAGCATCCATTTCATGGGAGTTCTGCTGTATCAGATAGTTCAACACGGTTTTCCAAAATCCAGAGTGGAGTCTAGAGCAAACAAGCTATGTTTACCAATATCCATATTAGTTAGGCAAACATTTTTTTTTTTTTTTTTTTTTTTTTGACAGCGTTTTGCTCTTGTTGACCAGGCTAGAAAATGCAGTGGCGCAATCCTGGCTCACTGCAACCTCTGCCTCTCAGGTTCAAGCGATTCTCCTGCCTCAGCCTCCCAAGTAGCTGGGATTGCAAGCATGTGCTATCACACTTGGCCAATTTTTGTATTTTTAATAGAGATGGGGTTTCTCCATATTGGTCAGGCTGGTCTCGAGCTCCTGACCTCAGGTGATCCGCCTGCCTCAGCCTCCCAAAGTGTTGTGATTACAGGCCTGACCCACCACGCTCAGCTACATTTAATTTTCGTGAGCTAATTAGAGCCTCAGATTGAGCTGCCTTTGTGTGGTGACTCTGATTAGCTCCTTCTATTAATAATTAGATGTTCTGATTGGCAGATACATATACTTTTGATAAATAAAAATAGTAAAATGAATTAATCATTATTGTATTTTGTTTGTTAGATAAAATCTCTAAAAGCAGCAGTAGCTTCATAGTGGGAAAATGGTCCTTAGTACACAGACCCAAACGCTGACGAGGCTTTGTCAGCCTTGTCAGGATATGCACTTTTGCCTCCATAAATGGCATAAGGATTGTTCAGGCATCGGGCACTAGGATAGGCAGTGGCTCAGATTCCAGAAGGACTTATCAGCAGTGGTGTGCTTGCGTTAGTTTCCGTCAGTCAGGGCAGGATTGAGGTCATAGTCACTGCCAGTGTCATTAGCGAATTTCTGAGTCAGAGCCACCAGTGATGGATGGTATCATGTGGCCATGAGCCATGATAACAGATTATTTGCATATGTTTGTTTGGCTTACTCCTGCTCTATTTACTTGTTTAGGGACTTCTGGCATTCCAGTCCCTATGACTCACTTTCTATACTGCCCAGCAAAGCATTTCTTTGCCAATCATGGCAAGAAGCCAGTTATTTTTTAAAGCAACACTTAGAGAGCAGAGTTTGATTCAACTCCCTCCTCCCGCTTGGTGACAGCGAAGTACTTATCTTCTTTTAAAAAAGGTTAAAATGAAAAGGAGAGTTGCCCAGGAAAACTGGTAGAATTTGAGAGGGGACTATGGGATTCCAAAACCAGTTCACCACTCTACTCATAGGTGATACGTATGTTTTTAAATGCTCCTTAACTGCAGATAGAGATAGATGGTCCTCCATCCTCTACGCAGTATCAAAAATACTTTCGCTCTGTTTATGTGGGGAAAATGGCACTCACACTTCTTGAGTGTGAAGGGAGGTCGATGATCAAATTAGAATCTTACTCCCATCCCTGCTCCCACCCCAACAGCAGCTGCTCTGGCAGGCCTTCAAGGCTGCAGCAGCCCTGGCCCCAGCTGCTTCAGCAGTAATTTGAAGAGTGCAAGGGGGCAGGGGAAGTGAGAATTTGAAGAAGAGTGCTTCATTATATAACAGCAAAGGCAGGAAACCCTGAAATAACTGGGCCCATAGCCGGATCCAGATTTCTGGAGTTCATGGGGCCCTCTCCCCAGTCAATCAATTCCGGAAACTTTTCTGACTTAATGACTGCATGGGACACCTGTGACAATCAAGGGGCAAAAGAGCTTTCAATCAAACAGTGCTTTATCTGTAAAAACCACTTTGATCCAACTCCAGCCTAAAGCACTGTGCTGCACTTGCAGCATCTCCCAAGGTGCAAAATTATCAGCTGGTTAAAAACAAATAAAATGGCAAATTGAACCTTGTAGCTGACGTCTTTTAACCAATAAGGCAGATGCTCTTTCTAAAAAATGTCCCAGCATTATGTTTGTGGTTATAGATCGACCTAGCAGGAACTATAGCCTTCCAATTCACATTTATGGCAGCGGGCATGGTGCTTGGCACAAAGCAGGCACAGTTTATTCTGTGGCAAATAACTTCCATTTCAGTCCAGGCGTGGTAGCTTACGCCTGTAATCCCAGCACTTTGGGAGGCTGAGGCAGGAAGAGCACTTGAGGCCAAGAGTTCAAGATCAACCTGGCCAAGATGGTGAAATCCCCTCTGTAACTAAAAATACAAAAATTAGCTGGGTGTAGTGGCACATGCTTATGGTCCCAGCTACTTAAGAGGCAGAGGCAGGAGAATCACTTGAATCCAGGAGATGGAGGTTGCAGTGACCCAAGATCACACCACTGCACTCCAGCCTGGGTGACAAAGCAAGACTCCATCTCAAAACAAATCGAAACAAAAAAACTTTCCATTTCAATTAAGAAGAAATTGTTATTTTTATTATTTTGTGACTTCAGAGTGTATTTAGGAGGAATAGAGAAAAAAAAAATGTCAAATGGCCATGGAAGCATGTCTTGCTTCCCAAGTCTCTATGTTGTCAAGTCACCCTACAAAGAATGTCCTTCCAGATGACCAGGTTAGTGATGACACATAAAATAGATTTGTACTTTGAATACTGCGTACCTGAGGAGGTTGTAGATCTTTGGTTATAGTGACTTTTGTCTAGAGTCATAATTCCTAGAAAAGACTAACTTAGTATTTGCTAGTTGCACACTGGTCTGTCTCATTTGTTGTCAGTGAAGCTGAAATGAATATGATCAAGTCTGTATACCCCATGCCATTAGTAACAAACAGCCTAAGACCTACTGCCGTGAAGAACGTGACATCAGCTACACTATGTTCTAATAGTGTAATCAGTTTGGACCCTGATCTGTGGCAATATGAGCCAGGTCTTTCTCATGAAACTTTATAGAAAAGCAGCTTTCAGCAATGACAACCACTATCATCCTTAGATCTATGACTCTTAACGGTTTTTCTAAGTGGTTTGTGAGATGATGCTTGGCATCTCCTTTACTCAGTATTGATGATGTGTCACCCTGGAATGCGCTTCCATCACAGACATTAGGAGGCCCATTCCGTACACTGTAGTATCTCACATAACTAGGCTGGGCTCTTGAATAGAACACAAGGCTTGGCGTTCAATGTCAAGTGAATAACAACCAACTGATGGTCTAAATTGTGAGCAAGACATTTTCTCATTCTTCTGTGAATGTGCTGTTTTATTTACTCAGCCCCTTTTGCCCCACCACCATTTTTGGTATATCGTTTGGCTTTCTAATTTGCCTCAAAAAGGAATGAAAACTTCATTATGTATAAGCTCCAGGAAGGTGTCTAAGTGCCATTAAAATTTTCAGCGGGCCCCAAAACTGCCATTTGTGCATACAATTTGCTCAGAGGTCAGGGTAGAGGACACGCAAGTTTTCCCGGAGCACCCAGAATTCACTGATGCTTCCTGCTTTCTGTTCTTGTCAGTAGGTGTTGTTTTGGGAAGACAAGGAATAACTAGAGTTTCAGTGATATAGCTCTTTATTAATTCAGAAACCACTCGTTGCTAATTCCATCCTGCATTACTTCAGCAAACAAATTTGGGGCCTCAGAAAGAACAAAACACTAGCATTGAACTACAGCGTCCCCTGGCTGTCACAATATCAATGTGTAACACACTTGTGAAAGTCTCTTAGCTAACGCCATGTGGTTTTCCCCACCCCTATATTCTCTCCTTAGACAGATGCTGTAAGTGTGACAGGACCAAGCACAGAATATCATAAGTTGTTCAGACAAGAACTGTAAAAAATAATGAAATATTTGTAACAGTGAATGACAAAAGAAAAAAAAAAAACGATTGGCTTTCCCCTTCTCTGAAGCAAGAGCCAGTATTTCCTAAATGCACGTCCTAAAATTGTAATAATAGAAAGCCTTGCAGCATCTGTTGCTGACAGAGCTTGTGGAGGAAGTTTAATTATAACATTTTTATGTTTACAGTCTTTGGACTAAATGAAAAACAAAAATACACCAATACGTGTGCGAAAGAAGCATTTCATAATCACATGAAGTGCCGACTACAGAAAAGAATGTGTGGTTTTCAGCTCACAAATCATGGTGAATAAGAAACCAGTTGTGAAAAAAAAGTGCATTTTATTCTGTTGTAGAGTCTAGTATAGAATACACTGATATCTTACAATTCGAAGTGGTCTTCGTAAACCTTTTATTGTGTGAGTGTGGAAAAGCATTTAATGATTCCTTTGCAAATTTACAACATATTTTACAATGACATATGACTCTATGTGTGACTAGGATTTTATAAAGATTGTCATTGTTTTTATTTCTCAAAAGATTAGTGAGGCTATCCTGTAAAGACCACCTAAGGAAAACAAAACAGCCAAACAAAAATCAATTTCCAGGACTGCAAAATGTAAACAAGGCAAAGCTAGGAAGACAGAACTCATTCCTTGGGCCATAGAACCCTTCCACGTTATGAGCAGGCATATTCTTTTGTGGACTAATACATTACTCCTATGTTGAATACATCTCGTAGATACTCACTGCAGATTTAAAGACTATTATTATTTCTGGAAATCAAACACCACTTGGGCATTTAAGAACAGAGGTACTGATCCCAGGCGTGGTGGCTCAAGCCTGTAATCCCAGCACTTTGGGAGCCCAAGGGAGGTGGATTGCTTGAGCCCAGGAGATCGACACCAGACTGGGCAACATGGCAAAACCCCATCTCTACAAAAATATATATATATATATACAAAAATTAGCCGGGTGTGGTGGCTTGCGCCTTTAGTCTCAGCTATTCAGGAGGCTGAGGTGAGAAGCTTGCTTGAGGCTGGGAGGTTGAAGCTACAGTGAGCCATGATCACAACACTGCACACCAGCCTGGGAAAGAGAGTGAGAGCTTGTCTCAAAAAAAAAAAAAAAAAAAAAAAAACAAAAACAAGCCCCCCCGCAACAAAATACAAATCAAAACAACAATCAAAAATCCCACTCCAAAGATGCTGTACTAAAAAGTAGCTGCATTACTCAAAATGTTTTGCCTAATATTTAATAAATTCCCTCAGCATTGGTAGAGAGAGAAAGGAAAACAACAGTGAGGAAAAAGCTTTACATGGGCTCAGATGATTCTGTCTTCAAAACTACTTTCCGGATGTGAGGGCGATCTGGCCGCGACATCTGTCACCCCACTGATTACCAGAATTGATTCGGCTGATCGGGCCGGGTAAGCGGGTGTCCTCTCCCTCCCTCACAAGTAGTCCCTCCCAAAGCTGTGCGCCCAGTGGAAGAGGACGGTATCCTCAATAGAGGAGGACCGGTCTTCGGGCAAGCGTATAGGAGTAGCTGCGCTCCCCTGCTAGGACCTCCAAACAAGCTCTCAAAACGACTTTTGAATGCATAGCTACAGAACTGAAGCTGCTAGAGATGTAGATGTAAAGATGCACATCTCCAAATGTGGAGAGGACATCTTTTTCTAACATTCGACACTGGGACCAGATTACAAAAATGTGTACTTTTTGGTTCTAACTATATTCTTCTTCTTATTATAGATGCTACAAAATTTGTCAGCTTCTGAGGGTCAGCTGGTTGTGTTTGAATGCAGAGTAAAAGGAGCCCCATCTCCTAAGGTTGAGTGGTATAGAGAAGGGACTTTAATAGAAGATTCTCCAGATTTTAGGATTTTACAGAAAAGTAAGTTAATGCTTTATTTTCTGATGTTTTGTTTTTGTGAACTTACCACACACACTTGTTTTTATAACTTTTAATGGCTAATAAAAATATAGTCAAAAAGAATAAAATGAAAAACATCTGTAATCATACTCCTGTTAATATTTCAGTGTATGTTTTCCAAGAATTTTTCCATGCATAGTTTTTAAAGAAAAGCATTGTATGCTTTTTTGTAAATTAATTGTTTACGCAACATTAAATGAACATCTTTCCATGTCAATAAATACAGTGCCTCCTTACTTTTTTGTTTTATTTTTTGAGATGGTGTCTGACTCTGTCACCGAGGCTGGAGTGCAATGGCGCAATCTCGGCTCACTGCAACTTCCGCCTCCCAGGTTCAAGTCATTCTCCGGCCTCAGCCTCCTGAGTAGCTGGGATTACAGGCACACACCACCATGCCTGGCTAATTTTTGTATTTTTAGTAGAGATGGGGTTTCACTATGTTGGTCACACTGGTCTCGAACTCCTGAACTGGGGATCCGCCTGCCTCAGCTTCCCAAAGTGCCGGGATTACAAGTGTGAGCCACCGCGCAGTGCTACTTTTTTAATTTTTTTGAGACAGAATCTCACTCTGTCACCCAGGCTGGAGTGCAGTGGTGCGATCTCAGCTCACTGCAACCTCCATCTCCCAGGTTCAAGCGATTCTCTGATTCTCCTGCCTCAGCCTCCCCAGTAGCTGAGATTACAGGCATGTGCCACCACACCTAGCTAATTTTTGTATTTTTAGTAAAGATGGGGTTTCACCAGGTTGGCCAGGTTGGTCTCCAACTCCTGACCTCAAGTGAATTGCCCGCTTTGGCCTCTTAGAGTGCTGGGATTATAGGCGTGAGCCACCATGACCAGCCTCACTTTTAAAAATAAATCAATAATATCAGTTTCATATTTAGTTAGTCTCCTGTTGAACATTTAGATTGTTGACAGATTTTTTTTTACTATTATAAACTATGCTTCAATGCATGTTAATAGAGAAAATTTTTGTGACTATCTACAGTTATTGCCTTGGAATAAATTTCTAGTATGAGAATTGCTGTTATAAGTTTACCTTTTTTTAGGCTTTTAAAATATGTTGCCAAAATGTCACCCCTAAGGGTTGAGCTAAATTTAGGATGATCACACAATTAATCGGCCAAACTGAGACCCTTTGGGGGTATGAAAGAGGATGCTATTAATAGTTATACAGGGATCCCAAGCATAAACTAGGCCTGTCCCAGCTGAACCAGGACACAAGTCGCCCTAGCTACATCCTACTGCAACCAACAATACGTGGGAATGCCTTTCGTCTCACACCTTCACCAACAATGAGTGTTAACCATTTTATTAAAAATCTTCACTAACTTTATAGGCCCAAAATGGGAACACTTGTTTTAATCTGCACTTCACTAATTAAACCTGGGATGAAACTTTTCTTTTTCGTATTTACTTACGTCTTTGTATTTCTTTATTTCACTTTGGGTTCTTGTTCCTTTTTATTATAAGAATTATTTAGATATTCACATGGTTAATTCTTCTTTTCTTATTGCACAATGCTTTTACTTTGTCATCCAGTGCTTTCTCCTTGACCCATTTCAGCCATAAATTACATTACAACATACTTGCTTTTTAAAAATATGTTTTATTAACTATGTAGAACAATCTATTATAGAAAAACTTGGGAAGGAAATTTGCTAAAATGTTGGCAGCCTTTCTTTGGGCAGTGAATCTAGGGTCAATTGTTTGACTTCCTTATGCATTTCTGTATTTTTTCAGTTTTTCTATGATGAACATGTATAACTTTTGTTTATTCATTTTTTGTTTTTTACATTGACTAATAAAAATTTTATTATTTACCATGTGCAACATGGTGTTTTGAAATATATATACATTGTGGAATGCCTAAATTAAGCTAGTGAACATATGTATTACTTCACACACATCATTTTTTTGTGATGAGCTATTTGCTTTTTTCTTAATCTTTCTCTGCCTATCACAAAATAGTAGTCCTTAGATCAGTGTGACATATGAATCAGAGCTACTGTCAGGTTTTATCGGCCATAGTAGCAACAAAAATATATTCTGAATGCCGTTTAAACTGAGAGATGCTGGGCACAGTGGCTCATGCCTGTAATCCCAGGAGTTTGGGAGGCCAAGGCAGGCAGATCACTTGAGGTCAGGCGTTTGAGACCAGCCTGGACAATATGGTGAAACACTGTCTCTACCCCACCACCCCCACAAAAAAATACAAAATCTTAGTCAGGTTTGGTGGCATGCACTTGTAGTCCCAGCTATTCTGGAGGTTGAGGAAGGAGAATCACTTGAACCCGGGAGGCAGAGTTGCAGTGAGCTGATATTGCGCCACTCCATTCCAGCTTGAGCAACAGAGTGAGACCCTGCCTCAAAAACAAAAACAAACAAATAAACAAAACCACCTCAATAGGTCTACAGTGTAGAAGATTAAAAGTAAGCTCAACAACTACTTTTTGAGTGTTGGCAGTTCAATATCAATCAAACACCTCTGTTCATTACCACTGTGGGCACTTTCGTGAAACCCAAAGAATTTTAAGAAAAGAACCTACTCTTCTCTGGGCATGGTGGCTCACGCCTGTAATCCCAACACTTTGGGAGGCTGAGGAGGGTGGATCACTTGAGGCCAGAAGTTCAAGACCAGCCTGGCCAACATGATAAAACCCCAACTCTACTAAAAATACAAAAAATACAAAAATTAGCCGGGAATGGTGACAGGTGTCTGTAGTCCCAGCTACTCAGGAGCGTGAGACAGGAGAATCACTTGAATATGGGAGGTAGAGGTTACAGTGAGCCAAGATCTTGCCACTGCACTCCAGCCTGGGCAACAGAGTGAGACTTCATCTCAAAAAAAAAAAGAACCTACTCTTGAAAAAACTATGATCTATCCTGAGGCTCTTGATCTTAGAAACCTCTGAGCAGGAGGTATAGTGAACATTTTATTAGGATATCAGAGCCCAAAGCCAAGAATAATTTCTCAATCTTCATAAACTTTTTTCAGGTAAGACTGAAAGAATGTCAATAAAAGCAAGTCATTTCTGAAATACAGCTAACTCAGAAAGTTTTCCTCACCTAAGTTTTATGTACCCCAAGTGAAACCCAGATTTATTTCAAGAGGAAGCAACGTCATTTAATTGTTGCTCTTGGACCGGGCACAGTGGCTCACGCCTGTAATCCCAGCAGTTTGGGAGGCCACAGTGGGTGGATCACCTGAGGTCAGGAGTTCAAGACCAGACTGGCTGACATGATGAAACCCCATCTCTACTAAAAATACAAAAATTAGCTGGGCATGGTGGTGTATGCCTATAATTCCAGCTACTTGGGAGGCTGAGGCAAGAGAATCACTTGAACCCTGGAGACAGAGGTTGCAGTGAACCAGGGTCGCACCATTGCACTCCAGCCCGGGCAACAAGAGCAAAACTCAGTCTCAAAAAAAAAAAAAAATCGTTAATCTTTCGCTGCTTTTCTGTAATACCCATCCTGTCCCTGTTGAGGTCATCTTACTTAATATTGTCACATAACCTTGTATCACTCCTGAGTGTGCAAGAGACTGAAATTCTGTAGGAAGCTTCTGATGAACATGTAGCTTCTCAGTAAAATAAATGTTCAGAATCTTTTAATTTTTTTTTCTTTCAGAACCTCGATCCATGGCAGAGCCAGGTAAAGAGAATTTCAACTTTAATTTATTAGTATATGATGAGTGATTTTGTATACATAAGAATACATAATGAAGTTACACTGAGATTAATAAACAGTGAAAAATAAGTTTTAGGAAAAAATATCCAAATGGGCCAGGCTCAGTGGCTCATGTCTGTAATTTCAGCACTTTGGGGTCTGAGGCAGCAGATCACTTGAAGTCAGAAGTTCGAGACCAGCCTGACCAACATGGCAAAACAAAACCCTGTCTCTACTAAAAATGCAAAAATTAGCCAGGCATGGTGGTGCATGTATGCAATCCCAGCTACTCAGGAGGCTGAGGCAGGAGAATCGATTGAGCATGGGAAGTGGAGATTGCAGTGAGCTGAGATCGTGCCACTGCAATCCAGCCTTGCTCTGGGCAACAGAGTAAGACTCCGTCTCAAAAAGCAAAACAAAAACATCCAAATGAACTATAGCTATTATTGTAGGAGGAGAGAAGGGGAGCATGTGCAATATATAATTAATACCTCATATGAATGCCGCTGGTTCTTGGGTTATTGAGAAATGTTTCTTAGGAATATTTTTCCTCTCAAAACTGGACAAAGCAATTTCTATAATGCTAGATCAATTTCAGTTCCATAGCCTAGGTATCTCAAAACTTATGCATCATCAGATTTTGAAGTTTGCAGAAATTCAATAAAATATCTGTGATGTTATTAGATTTGGTTGAGAGAATACTAAGATGAGATACAAATGACTGTACGTGAAGTTAGAAAATACAAGTGACTCATAAAACAGGGCATAAACATCTGAATGCCTTCTCTGTGACCACCCGAAAAAATCAGATTGTATTTGAAACCCTGTGTCAGAAAGTTGGTTTGTGATCTCATTATTATAATTATCTCTTCAGGCCAGGCATGAGGGCTCACACCTTTAATCCCAGCACTTTAGGAGGCTGAGGCAGGTGGATCACCTGAGGTTGAGTGTTTGAGACCAGCCTGACCAACATAGTGAAACTCCGTCTCTACCAAATTTACAAAAATTAGCCAGGCTAGGATTCTTAAGGGTTTTGGAGTGGGTTACAGAGCAGAGATCACTGGTTGGTTGAAAAGTGCAGGGTGAAGTCATGAGACAGGGAGATTAAGAAGCTGTGTTCTCATGCTGATCTCGTTCCTCTGTGGGGATCTTCAAACTAGTTGCTGGAATTCATGGTCTGAAAAAAAGGTTTTTAAGAAATCCTTAAACAAAAGCCTTATGAGGCTGGGTACAGTGGCTCACACCTGTGATCCTAACACTTTGGTGGGAGGATCGCTTAAGTACAGGAATTCAAGACCAGGCTGAGCAATATAGTGAGACCCCCATCTCTACAAACACTTAAAAATTAGCCAGGCATGGTGGCACATGTCTGTAGACCCAGATCCTCGGGAGGCTGTGGTGGGAGGATCATTCAAGCTTGGGAGGTGGAGGTTGCAGTGAGCCAAGATTATGCCTCTACACTCCAGCCTGGGCAACAGAGCAAGATCCTGTCTCAAAAAAATAGAAGCCTTATGATTCTAATGTTAGAAATCATTAGGATTTTCATCTATAGGAACAATGGGGATGCAAATCAATTATTAAACAGTCTTATAATCCTAATATCAGAAATCCTATCTATAGGAACAAGGGGATGCAAGGATCTAGTGCTATGTGACTTTTAGTGACGAGGAAATGGGTCAAAGTGCAGCCTGATTAATACTTAACTATATTTCTGTCAAGAACTTAGCATGCAATTCTTGTCAACTCTTTGGGGTTGGTTTCAATATCACATTGACTGGAATTGTGTGACTCAACCACCACTTAACAAGAACAGTTAGCTTGACTGGCTTAGACCTCATGATTTACCACCTGAGGCTGAGAGGGGCCAGCTTTCTTTGAAGCATACGAGCACTCCAAGTAGAGTAGATAAAGCCAGAGTTCTATCAACAAGGAGGTAGGAGGATGGAGAGTTATTGAGTAGGCACTTGCCTTAGCCCATTATGTGCTGCTATAACAGAATAACCGAAACTGGGTAATTTTTAATAAGGAACAAGGACTTATTTCTTACAGTTCTGGAGGCTGGAAAACCCAAGATCAAGGGGTCTGCATCTGGTGAGGGCCTTCATGCTGTGTCATCCCATGGCAGACGGCAGAAGAGCAAGACAGCAAGTGCATGAGGGAAGGGAGGGCGAGAGGGGGCCACACGTACTTTCATGACAAACCCACTCCCACAATAACAACATTTATGCATTTATTAGGGCAGAGGCCTCATGACCTAAACACCTCCCTTTAGCCTCCACATCCCAACACTAAAGCACTGGGAATTCTTTCCAGCACATAAACTTTGGGGGACACGTTCAAATAGCAATACTCAATACTGCCTGCCGTGGCCCCCTGGCCAGTTTTCCTAAAAATAGTCTAATTAATTCAATTCAACTATCATGAAGCACTGAGATGCCTATCAAGTTTCTCCTAATGCAACTTTTTTTTAATATTTTGTTTTCCATGTCAGGTCTATGGAATGATAACTGCATAATAAAGCACTTCTGTGCTTCTCTTATAAAGCCTTTTTTGTGTCTAACCGTCTATACAGTCTGTAATTTCATCCTTAAATTTCCCATTTCTGCTTCAACTTAAGACTTATACCACTGTCTTCTACCTCCTCTTTATTAGCTGTCAAGGAGTATCTAACTTTAATAACTTTGGACTGTAATCATGTGGTTCTACCTGGGAATCACCTCTGCAGTTATTCACAGAGGATCATTGTTCACAGTGTATCAGAGTAATCCATAAGAATTACCATAGTAGGCCGGGCACGGTGGCTCAAGCCTGTAATCCCAGCACTTTGGGAGGCCGAGGCGGGTGGATCACGAGGTCAAGAGATCAAGACCATCCTGGTCAAACTCCATCTCTACTAAAAATACAAAAAACATTAGCTGGGCATGGTGGCGTGTGCCTGTAATCCCAGCTACTCAGGAGGTTGAGGCAGGAGAATTGCCTGAACCCAGGAGGTGGAGGTTGCGGTGAGCCGAGATCGCGCCATTGCACTCCAGCCTGGGTAACAAGAGCGAAACTCCACCTCAAGAAGAAGAAAAAAAAAAAAGAATTACCATAGTAATACAAAAGTAGAAATGCATTTCACTCCTTCTTTCATTCAGAATTTCAAGTTACTCTATCAGCTCATTACTACCAGTAAAGCAAAATATTTATTTGCTGTACAATTTTAAATTGTGGTCTTTGTTTAAAATAATCTCACTGTAGCCTGGGTTCAGTGGCTCACGCCTGTAATTACTACATTTTGGGAGGTTGAGGCGGGCAGATCACGAGGTCAGGAGTTCGAGATCAGCCTGACCAACATAGTGAAACCCCGTTTCTACTAAAAATACAAAACTCGGCTAGGCATGGTGGCACATGTCTGTAGTCCCAGCTACTCAGGAGACTGAGGCTTGAACCCGGGAGGCAGTGGTTGCAGTGAGCCAAGATCGTGCCACTGCACTCCAGCCCAGGCAACATGAGCAAAACTTTGTCTCAAAAAACAAAACAAAACAAAACAATCTCACTGCAGAAGTTCCCCAGGGAAATAGTGAGAGACCTAGGTTTAGAAAATGTCTTATTAGTCCTTTTATTTCACAGAACCTTCCATTCCCTTTGACTCCTAATTTGTTTTTGTGATTTTTAAAAAGTTTGTTGTTATTCATTTCTATTTGTGCCATCTATACTATTCACATAAAAATGGAAGATTATCTGAAAATCCATAATATGTAGCCATTTTTATAAAATCCCCTTGTCAGTATTTGGCTTGTCTGCATGGAATTGTTGTTTCTAAACTATTTGACTCATTTTGCCTACTTTTTTTTTTTTGAGAGGGAGTTTCGCTCTTGTTACCCAGGCTGGAGTGCAGTGGCGTGATCACAGCTCACCGCAACCTCCGCCTCCTGGGTTCAGGCAATTCTCCTGCCTCAGCCTCCCAAGTAGCTGGGACTACAGGCTTGCACCGCCATGCCCAGCTAATTTGTGTATTTTTAGTAGAGACGGGGTTTCACCATGTTGACCAGGATGGTCTCGATCTCTTGACCTTGTGATCCACCCACCTCGGCCTCCCAAAGTGCTGGGATTACAGGCGTGAGCCACCGCACCCAGCCTTCTTTTTGCCTACTAATCAGTCAATTCAATCAAATCACTATTTCAATCAATCGTTTTTAAAGAATTAATATAGCCAGCTTCTTTTATTGACTTTGTAGAATCATCATCTGATATCAGTAAATTCTATAATTCTACTCTCATAACTAAGTCAGTAACCATACTCTTTCACTGGCATATAGAGGAGATTTGCACCTTGGTCATTGCTGAGGTGTTTGCAGAAGACTCTGGGTGCTTCACATGTACTGCAAGCAACAAATACGGCACAGTGTCAAGCATTGCACAGCTGCACGTGAGAGGTAAGGACCCTTTAATGCCAGAACAGCTTAGCCTATGACTTTGAGTGTGAATATGCAGACTTTGTGTTACCGTTCCTTACTGCTTTTCATACAAAGCTAGCTTGCCTCTCCTAGAAAGGTTTGAATTATTGAGGAAAATGTTCTTGAACAGTGTCCAGTTTTTAATCTCTTATTGCATTACAGCCACCACCTCAGTCACCCTGCTGTCATCATTATATTTCCTAAGAGAACATCTCCTCAATAAATTTCTAAATTTCTTTCCAAAAGCGTACTTAGATTTTAAACTTAGTTTTTCATTTTGAATTTAATTTGTTTTCTGTATCCTTACCGTTCTTTACTGCCCCGATGATCTGTTTTTGATAGGCATTTTCCCATTCATACATTCATCTGGTGTAAACACTTTCCCATTTGTGCACATGCCCCAATTCAGGCTTACAGTGGCCGACAGCTCAGGTCCTGTGATTATCCTTTCAGGAAATGAAGACCTCAGCAACAACGGGTCTCTTCACTCAGCCAACTCTACCACCAACCTTGCTGCTATTGAGCCACAGCCCTCCCCACCCCACTCAGAGCCTCCATCTGTGGAACAACCCCCCAAACCCAAACTCGAGGGGGTTCTGGTGAACCACAATGAGCCCCGGTCCAGCTCCAGGATTGGGCTTCGTGTGCACTTCAACCTGCCTGAAGACGACAAAGGGAGTGAAACATCCTCCGAGGCTGGCATGGCGACCACCAGACAGACCAGGCCCGATTGTTTCCAGGAGAGGTTCAACGGACAGGCAGCAAAAGTCCCAGAGCCTTCTTCCCCGGTCAGAGAGCCCCCTCCAGTTCTGGCCAAACCTAAACTGTGAGTAAAAAGTAGGATGAATAACCAGGAGATTCTGTGATCTTTTCTTGAGTCTGATCTCCTTAAGAATAATGGAACTCAGCCAGGCATAGTTGCTCATACCTGTAATCCTAGCACTTTGGGAGGCTGAGGCAAGAGGATCACTTGAGCCCAGGAATTCAAGGCAAGCCTGGGAAAAGTAGTGAGATCCCTGTCTCTAAAAGAAATATTTAAAGGTAAAAAAATTAGCAGGCATGGTGGTTTAAACCTGTAGTCCTAGCTACTCAGGAGACAGAGGCAGAAGGATCACTTGATAAATATAACAGGATGAAGTGGTCAAGATTTTCTGACTCAACTCAGGAGCCTACTGTGGTTGTTGCCCTAACTCTGTAGAAAGCCATGTTGCAATGTTTAAAATGTCCATCCATAACAAAGCGAATACAGGGCATGATATGCTATTGCTATTATTTCCTGTTTCATCCACACATCAAAATGATAAAAAATTGTTTCTATTTACAAAAACCTTTAAATATCAACATCAACAAATTACCCTGAAACTTAGTGTCTTAAAAAAAATAAATATCAACATCAAAATCTACAGCACCAGTGCACCCACTGTGTGTTGTCATTACCATGAGATGTTCATTGGAAGCCATTCGTGTTTCGTTTTGTATTCTCACCACTATCTAAAGCAAAATTCTGGGCATAAGATTCAATGCTGTGAATCTAACAGGCCTCTAAGCAAGTCACATCTAGAAATGTGTCAGTCCCCTCAACATTCTGCCAGTTACAGGAAACAGGAATCCCCTTAAAGTAAAAAGAGGGGAAGAGGTTATTGCAGGGATAGAGGCAGGAATGGGAAACCAAACACACAACCAAGCCTTGCAGGAGATCTAGAGAGGTGGAAGCTGGACCTCCTCACCTGTCACTTAAAGTCACAGGTCAGTCCAGTCTCTGCTGGACCTTGCATGACTGGTTCCCCCTCTGTCTATCTGAGCATCTCCTTGTTTCCTCTTTATTTATCCATTCTTTTCTCTTTGAAGACCCATCTGTTCATAAGTGGCCCATCATGGCCTTGTCCCCAGTTCACTTCATGATGTGTGTCAAGTACCACTGTTAACTAAATCAGTCGCAGCAGCTCAAGTCCCAATTCTAATTGGTCCAGGCTGGTCAGGTGATCTCCTCTTCCCGCCCCCAATACACTCAACTGTTGGAGGATTTATGTTTGGAAGAAACTGTGGGTGGGAGAAGTTCTCAGAGAAGGGAGTTACAGTGATAAGGCAACCCCAAACAAACCTCCCGGGAATTGCCTCCATTGCAGGACTGTCTCTTTTCCAGGGACTGTTTTAGGTGCTGTTACGTATGATAACAGAAAAAGCAAATTCTGCCAAAATATTTAAAGAGGTTTATTCTGAGTCAATATGAGTGACTGTGGCCCAGGGAAACATGGTCTCCAGAGGTCCTGAGAAAGTGCATCCAAGGCAGTCAGGTTGCAGTTTGGTTTCATGCGTTTCAGGAAGACAAGAATTGCAGGTAAAATCATGAATCAATACAAGAAGACAAATATTGGTTTGGCCCAAAAAAGCAGGACATCTCAAAGCAGGGGCTTACCAGTCATAGGTGGGGTTGGGGGTTCTATGGTTGGCAATTCAAAGAGTTAAGTTTTGTCTGAAAACTTGGAGTCAGTAGAAAGGGATGCTCAAGTTAAAGTAAGGGAGTCTACTGTCTGCCATGTAATGCGATGCCAGAGTCAGGATGGAAAGAAAGCCACCATACACTGGGTCAAAAACACCTGTTTCAAATTAGCCAGGCCTGGTGGTGCACACCTTTAATCCCAGCTACTCTGGAGGCTGAGGTGGGAGAATCGCTTGAACCCAGGAGGCAGAGGTTGCAGTGAGCTGAGATCGCACCACTGTAC